AAGAATGCATGACACACACATCCATCCCCTCCACAACTGGCTAGGGAGCCGCAGACCTACAGATCTCCTGCATAGGACTGTGATACAGACAGTGATGGCAGAACCTCCTGGTGCCAGCTAACAACCCCTCCAAGGTTAAAATGAGCATCACATTCCTTGAGATCTACTACAGGTCTGCTCTCTCCTCCCACCCCGTAGCCACTCTCAGCACTTATTGTTAGGGGCTCTGAGCTGGACAGCCTGAAATCCTAGCATGGAACTCATCATGGGCAGTGGGTATCCTACACAGGGGAAGACACGGCCTTCCCAAACTGCCTCCCCTGGCTCCACCCATGCCCAGCTCTGTACCATGCCAGCTGGCCAGCTCTCTGGAGCTCTGGGGCTGGGGCTGCATGCGATTCTCTGGAGCTCTGGGGCTGGGACAGGCTGGGGCTGCATGCAATTCTCTGGAGCTCAGGGAGGCTACAGCCATGCTGCCCATTGGCTCTCTGGTGCTCCGGAGCTAGGGAAGGTTGCAGCCGTGCTGCCTGCTGCCTCCCTGGAGCACCGGGGTTGGCGGAGGTTGGGGGCACTATTCTGGGGCAGGGAGGGGGCAAGGGCCAGCAGCCACATTGAGGGGTTAGGGGGGGAGAGGAGGCTGGGCAGGGGCCAGCAGACCACAGTGTGGGGACAGTCATGGCTCTGGTAGATGGGGCTGGGAGGGCTTGTCTCCCCAATCATGGGGTCACCCAGTCCCCATGAACTCAAATCCTTTATTTACCTCTCCTGGCCTGCTGTGTCCCACAGCTGCAAGGCCACCCGTGTGTTATCCACCACTAAACTCTTCACCTGGTAATCCATACCTGTAGGAGAAGCGACAGCACCTGGTGATTGCAGGACAGAGCAGGGGAAATAGGGAAACGAGGCCTATAGAAAGGATCAGCTGAGTTATTTCAGTGCAACAGAAGAGCAGACACTTTGGGGCAGGGACTCTCTTTTCCTTTGTGTGGGGGAAGGGCTCAGCTTGTTTGGGGTGTTTCTGCAGTCTAAGTCAGACCCCCTGATGGGGGGAGCAAAGGGGGCAACTACCCTGCGGCCTAGTGATCCAAAAGGGCCCAGGGCTCCCAGGTGCTGGAGCCCCATGTGGTGCAGTCCAGACGATGCTGAAGGCAGGTGGGGGAGGCAGTGCGGTCTGGGCAGCGCTGACGGCTGGCTGCTCTGGACCGTCCCCCTTTCCTCTCAAGGTCCTGCCCCTTCTGGGAGCACAGAGCCAGCTCCCCACCTTCCCAGGGGCCAGCAGTTTTATCAGCCTCCCTCATGACAGGGAAGGCACCAGGCCTTCCCAACTCTCTCTTTTCTCTTTCTCTTCCCCAGAATTTGCATGGGTTGCCGTTGGTCAGACAGTGCCCTGGATAGTTCCGGGATTAACCAGCCAGCCCGAGAAGGTCTTTAAGGTATCTCAGGTTGGGCAGCCCAGAATCACTAATCCTTTTTGGAAAATCTTCACCACAATTGGTCAGTGCCGACAGCATGTTGAGTGCTGCATGGGACATACAGGAGAGAAGGCCCTGATGGGTAACTCTGCACTGCCGTGGAGCAGAGGGGGGGGGGTCATTTCTAGCTTCACCAAGGGGATCATTCTAGCTTCCTTTTTTATGTGCCATTACGTCCCGCATTTCCCAGGCGCAGTGGTGTAGCGAGGGTTTTATGCGCCCGGGGCAAAGGCAAAATTTGCGCCCCCCGATCATTTGTTACTGTGTATATATATTTTTTCCCCCGCCCAGATACACCCGAAGGTGCGTGAATGGAGGTGACTGGGTAAAGCGTATTCCTGCCACCATTCGCGCTAAAACACACAGGCTGTGTCTACACTGGCCCCTTCTTCGGAATAGCCATGCTAATTTAGAACTTTGGAATGGGGAAATGCACGGGGGATTTAAATATCCCCCGCGGGATTTAAATAAACATGGCCGCCGCTTTTTTTCCGGCTTGGGGAAAAGCCGGAAAAGAGCGTCCAGACTGGCGCGATCCTCCGGAATAAAGCCCTATTCCGAGAGGATCTCTTATTCCTACTTGAATATTCCTTGAAGTAGGAATAAGAGATCCTCTGGAATAGGGATTTATTCCGGAGGATCGCGCCAGTCTGGACGCTCTTTTCCGGCTTTTGCCCAAGCTGGAAAAAAAGCGGCGGCCATGTTTATTTAAATCCCGCGGGGGATATTTAAATCCCCCGTGCATTTCCCTATTCCAAAGTTCTAAATTAGCATGGCTATTCCGTAGAAGGGGCCAGTGTAGACGTAGCCACACAGTATAACCTCAACGCTGTCAGTATAACATAACTATCGTCCTATTTACTTGCTGAAGGTTTCGCTGAAACCTTTTCACAGTCGACTGTTGGAATATATACAAAATAAGAAATAATAAAAAAGTTAACAAATGATGTAACTTTTGGCAGTTAAATTGGTGCCCCTCCAAGTGTAGCGCCCAGGGGCAACTGCCCTCCTCCTGCCCCCGCCATCCCTCGCTATGCCACTGCCCAAGCCAGAGGCTCCCAGCGCGGTGACCTGGCAGCACAGGGGCGGGAGGTTTTCCCTTACCAATGGTCGCATTGATCTCAGCCAAGAACCTGTCATAACAAAAGCGATGGATGAAGGAGCTCTTGCCAACACCAGAGTTGCCCACAAACACCACTTTGAAGAGACGCTCTGGGGAAGAGGCGGCTGCAACAGGTGTCTGAATTTGGGGAGAACAGGGCAGGAAGGGAAGAGAGTTAGTAGAAAACAAGGTCTGAGTTGTGCGTTACGGTCCAGGACCCCAGCTAGTGTAAATCAATGGAGACCGAAGGCAGTTGGTAAGGTTTGGGGAAAGGAAGAGCCCTAAAGGACGAGACTTACTGTGGCTTCAGTGCCAAGGGGCCGCCCACGGAGGGACAATGGCGCATCATCCAATTCAGCTGCTGTTTGCCTCTGGTTGACATCCCCCTTTGGAGCCATCCATGGGTGCCCATCCACCCCTGTCATTTGCTGCTGCTCTTGCCCTCTGCCTGAGCTGCTGCTCTCTCCAAAGCTCCTGCTGCTTCCTTTTCCCTTCTTCACTGTGGTCGAGGTGTCCAGGAGGCATTTACAGCTCTTCTTGTTGGGCTCTTCCACAGCCACATCCTCCAGCAAAGGGAGAGGAAGATCCCCAGGAACCAGCTGCCTGTCCCCAGACCCAGGAGTGCCCCAGAGATGGGATTGGAGAGGTGGGGAGAGTAGAAATGTTCAATGTGAGTGTGACCAAGTTAGCGCACACAGAATACTGATTGGGATGCTCCAGTGGGTAAAGGGAATATTGGAGGTATCCCAGAAAAAACTCTGCCATGTCCAGGGAATGCCTCTGCTCTTCTGAAATTTTTTCAGAAGAGCAGACACCGTGTTTCAGAAGCCCTGTAAACCTTGTTTCAGGAGGAAGAAGCGCTCTTCTGACAAGAGGAGGTTTTTCCGAAATTTGGCCCAATGTAAATGGGCCAAATTTCAGAAAAGCCTCTTCTGAAAAAAGAATCGGAAAAAGGTATGCAATTTGCAGAGCACAATTTGTATACCTTTTTCCAAAAAAGAAGTGTAGTGTAGACACAGCCTCTAAGATACAAGACCGATTTTACCCCTAGGGAAGGAGCGGGACGAGAAGACACAGTACATGTCCCAATTCTGCACTTATGCCCAAGCTTTGAGAGTTTGTAAGACTGGGGTTTGAGACTATGGCTCTTCTCCTCATGTTGTACAGGTTCAGGGCCTCTTAATGGAGCAAAACTCAAAGAAAACTCCAAGATGGTAGCAATAAGATCCTGGCACTAGCCGGGGTATGGACAGGCTGACTAAGAGTCCATTTTCAAACAGCAACTATCTGTGTTGTAATTACAGAAGCTAAAAAATCAAAAACAAAATAACCTAAAAACTAGCAGCCACCCAAAAAACACCCCCCAAAACAAGAACGGGGGAATTTCAGGGAAATGAATCGTGACCAGCTGTGTGCGGCAGATTTCTGAAAAGAGCAATTTTGGTTTATTTAAATTTTTTATGATTTTTTTTTAAAGATAGGACATTTGTTTTCACTGGGATGTTTCATTTGTTTTTCAGTATTTGGTTCTCACCCATAGGCCCTTCTCTTATCCTGCCATTTCTTTTCTCTCTTGCCACAGGAAAAGGGAAGGAAAAACAGAGGAGAAAGTAGGAGGAGGAGAGGGAGGAGGAAAAACAAGACCCTGCAAGAACGACTCTGGTTTTCAGTTTCTAATTTCATCCAGAGTGTGTGTCTTAGAACAGGTCCATTCTTAGCAGCCGCTGTTTGGTGGCATGCTCACATTTCACCCAACGTCTCCAAGTGCAGGGGGCTGGATTTAGTAACTTCTCACTGGCCCTTCCAATCCAGCATAGCTATGATCCTGTCCCTGACCACTGTTAGCTCTGCAGCCAGCTCTAAGAAAAGGGTTTTATCACCACACAGAACCTATGAGGGAAGACTGAAAGAACTGGGCTTGTTTAGTTTAGAAAAGAGAAGACTGAGAGGGGACATGGTAACAGTTTTCAAGTATCTAAAAGGGTGTCACAAGGAGGAGGGAGAAAAATTCTTCTCCTTGGCCTCTGAGGATAGAACAAGAAGCAATGGGCTTAAACTGCAGCCAGGGAGGTTTAGGTTGGACATTAGAAAAACTTCCTAAAGATCACGGTGGCTAAACACTGGAATAAACGGACTAGGGGGGTTGTGGAATCTCCACCACTGGAGATATTTAAGAGCAGGTTAGACAGACACCTGTCAGGGATGGTCTAGAATAGATGGTGCTTGGTCCTGCCATGATGGCAGGGGACTGGATTTGATGACCTCTCAAGGTCCCTTCCAGTTCTAATATTCCATCATTGTATGATTCTACGAATGAAATTCCTGCCAGGAAAAGCTCACACACAGGCTCCAGCTCATGGAGACCAGAAATGTGCATGACCCTCCCTCTACTAAAACTGCTGCACAAGCACAACAGGCTGGAATATGGGATTGAGAGACCTCTTCAGAAAAGGATTTTTTAACACAAGCCCACTGATAGCTCGGGTGGAGAGGTGCCAATGCAAGTTCACAGGCTCTTCTGTGGTTATAGCAATTCTTAAGTAACATGGGATAGTTCAAGAGCAGAAATGGGAACAGAGGGTATGTCTACACTACAAAGTTAATTCGAACTAACGTCCGTTAGTTCGAATTAACTTTGATAGGCGCTACACTAGCGCTCCGCTAGTTCAAACTTAATTCGAACTAGTGGGAGGCTAGCCCTCCCCAGCTTTCCCTGATGGCCACTCTGGGCACCACCAGGGAAACTCGTATGCCCCCCTCCCAGCCCTGGAGCCCTTAAAGGGGCATGGGCTGGCTACGGTGCCCGTGCCAGGTGCAAGCCTGCCATCCCCCAGCCAGCAGACCCTGCACCTGGCACGCCATGAGCCAGCCACCCGATGCCCCCCAGCCCTCCGCCTCTTCCCGGGACCAGGCTGGCAGCTCTCGGGAGCCTGGCCAGGACCGCAAGAGGCGGGCCCCCGCCTGGTCTAGTGCAGACATCGTGGACCTCGTCCACGAACTCCGCACTAGGCACAGGAAAGTGGCCAGCTAGGGCAGGATAGCTGCCAGCCTGGCCACCCAGGAGCAGGTTTGAATGAAAATCAGGGTGGTCCACTGAGACCCCCGACCCTGAGTCCTGAGCTTAGAATGGCCGTACTGGGTCAGACCAAAGGTCCATCTAGTCCAATAGCCTGTCTGCCGACAGCAGCCAGCCCTAGGGACCCTGGAGGGGATGGACCGAAGACAATGACCAAGCCATTTGTCTCGTGCCATCCATCTCCAGCCTTCCACAAACAAAGGCCAGGGACACCATTTCTACCCCCTGGCTAATAGCACTCCATGGACCCAACCTCCATGACTTTATGTAACTTCTCTTTAAACTCTGTTCTAGTTCTAGCCTTCACAGCCTCCTGCAGCAAGGAGTTCTGCAGGTTGACTATTTGCTTTGTGAAGAAGAACTTTCTGTTGTTAGTTTGAAGCCTGCTACCCATTCATTTCATTTGGTGTCCTCTAGTCCTTCTATTATGGGAACTAATGAAGAACTTTTCTTTATGCACCCTCTCCACACCACTCATGCTTTTATAGACCTCTATCATATCCCCCCTCAGTCTCCTCTTTTCTAAGCTGAGAAGTCCCAGTCTCTTTAGCCTCTTCATATGGGACCTGTTCCAAACCCCTGATCATTTTAGTTGCCCTCCCCTCTCCCCCCCTCTCTCTTCCCCTCTCCCACCTTCTTTTCCCAGTCTCCCCAAGTTTTGTTCAATAAAGAGAGTTTCTATTTTTGAACACACGTGTCCTTTATTTTGAACATCAGGAAGGGGGGCTAGGGAGGGGTAAGTGGAAGGAGGTGAGGGAGGAAAGGGGTATGAGCCCCCGATGGGGAGGACTGGGCTGGCTCTGAGGGCTCCTCGGGGTGGAAACTCTCCTGAAGCCCCTTGATTGACCCCCCCCCCCCTCCAGATGGCAGCCTGCGGCAAGTGCAGACGGGCTGATGGCTGAGGGCTGTGATGTGCCGAGTGTGGGCACTCAGGGCACTCCAAGCCAGGACTGCTTTGCAAGCAGGGAACCCCTGAGAACTGTCTGTCCGGGGTGGGGGTCGGGTCCCTTTAAGCACAGCCCTCGGCTAGCCTGAGGCAGCAGCTCCACGCTCTAAGGCCTAATCTGATGCCCTGCCGGCACTGCTTCCGGCCATCCTTAACCTCCGTTCAGGGTCCACTCAGTGTGGACATGCTAGTTCGAATTAGCATTTTGCTAATTCGAACTAGCTTTTAAGTCTAGATGCGCTAATTCGAATTAGCTTAGTTCGAATTAACTAATGCGAACTAAGTTAGTTCGAATTAGCGCTGTAGTGTAGACATACCCAGAAAGATGATCAAACCTCCTTTCTTACCTCCCCCACAACTGCCAACCCTCTGCCCCACTAAACCTTTTGGGTCATCACATGCCGGCAGCTGAGTGCTGGGTTTCCAAGAGAACAGCTCCTGAAAAGAGTGGGGAGACAGTATCTCCGGACCTGGCTGGCCCCATGGTGCAGAATCTCAGCAAGAGGCTGTGGGATTGGGCCTGGCTCGTTCCAATTCCCAGCAGGTGATTTGCTCAGATGTTGTAAGCCAGACTTTTACCAGGGGCTTAAATACGTGGCCACTAAAGCTGCTGGGGTAACAAAGGGGTTTGCACACACGGTCTGGGAAACAGGCTCGTGGATAAAGGCATACGCACCTTCCAGGAGTTAACTACAGACTCTTCCAGGGTCTGGGGGAAAATTGGGCCCACCCAATTGCAGATTATGTCTTGAAACGAGTCCTTGTGATTGAAGTAATTCAGCCACGTTAGTAGCAACAAGAGGCAACCCTAGGTGAGGTCAGCTCTGTAGCCTTGTCTGCATGGAGGATTCGCCCTGATTCCAACCATTGGCAGCCAGCCACCCATGTTGCTGCACCAGGGCAAGCCCCGTGTGTACAAAGAACACTGGCAAGCCATTCCTGTCCCTAGCAAGCTGCCACCCCCCAATCTCCAACCCATTCCTGGCCCACATTGTAGGGAGCAGACACAGGACACAGCTGGTCCAGCAGGCTGGCTCCGCTGACCACAGACGTATGGCACACAACTAACACAACACACATTCCTGTCTAACCGTTTGACCGGCTTGTCCTCCAACAGGTATTTGCCTATCGCTGACCCTTTCTTCCACAGGGGTCTTTTGCTTGGAAGTGCCTGGAAATTAAAGAGAGGGGATGAAAAGCGCAATTAGGATCCATCGACGAAATGACCAAGCACCAGATGGCACCAGCTCAAACCCTACTAAGTGAATGGCAGCTCCTGCTTCTCAAAGGTGATGGCTTTTCAATCCTTTAAGGGCTTTGGGATGTACGACAAGGGCAGGTCTACACTACAGAGTTCTTTCGAAATAACTCCCGCTAATTAGAAATAACAAGGTGAGCGTCCACACAGCAAGTCCGTTATTTCAAAATTATTTCAAAAGAATGGGCTTGGTTTTTCAAAATAATTACTCCTCATAGAATGAGGGGTTATGTCTGTTTCGAAATTGCTATTTCAAAATAGGGTTAGTGTGGACGCTCAGCTGCTGTTATTGTGAAATGACTACTTCCCAGAGTTATTCATAGTAATTGCTCCCCAGTGCTTCCTGGGGCTCTAAGTCAAGGTAGCGCGTCTACATTAAGGGAGCCTGCTTCAGACTAATTTCGAGGCTTCCCTGTAGTGTGGCTGTGCTATTTTGAAATAGTTATTTTTGGAGTTATTATTTTGAATTAATCACTTATTTCAAAATAACCTGATAGCATAGACAGAGACCAACTGAGTCCAGCCAATGGCTTTGGGTGGATGCACAAGCGGGATTAAAGAATGACATGCAATTAGTAGGCATAGTGGAGAGATTCAAGAGATTTTCACGGTAACCAGTACATTACATTGCTAGGCCCTGGGTCAGGAAGGTATGCAAGCATGCACCTCGCTGTAAGCACAGTGAAAATCCTCAGCCTCATCCCCAGCATGAGCACAGG